CTTGTCGCTTAGATCTTTGAGGTTTATACCTGTATCCAGGTTTCACCTTCTCCTGCAGCCATGTTCGAATATGTTTGGGGAAGAGATGGAAACTCCTCTTCATTCGCAAGAACGTCGTACCTGTTTTGGGTGAATATGGAATTTTGTTCCTTCGCTTGCATGTAGGTTAGGGTTGTCCTTGCCATGATGGTCTTGATATTTCGTTACCGGGTTCTTTCAGGACAGTACATATCCAAGATGCGGTGATCGATCTTACAGTAGAAACACTTTTTGGGACATTCTGACATTCTCCTGACTCCATTTCGTCATGCATAGCCGAACAATTGGAGCAACGTTTCTTCGATCTGCAATTCTCTGTAGCATAGTTGTATTCAAACATTTGAGGCATAGAACCCGGCGATTCACGAAAGGGCGAACTGAGTTGATGCAGCAGAAGAGACGAACTTCCTTCGGCAGCATAGTGGCGCGAAAAGTGATGCCAATCGGACTCGTTGGAATTTTGACACCTCCTTCAAAACGGTGAAGTCTGTTGATCTTGATGATCGGGTAGGCGCAAATAAATGATGTTTGCTTGGATTTCTTCGATCGTCATATAGGAACTCCAGCTACCACACCTGTAAAGTTCGGCCGTTCACTGAGGAATCCGGTTGCCGGTTTTGCCAGCCTTTTACCCAAGCGTCCACACGCGATGACGGTTCGATGAGGAAGAGGAAGAGAGACGATCGCTGCGTGCTCTCGTCGTCTCCCGTCACGTCTGCTGTGGTGTGCGCAGGGTTATGTTGGTAGAAGGTAGGGAGCGGCTAGCATCTCTATGCGGGGGGTACTCAATACCGCACATCCCCCTCCTCCATTAAAAAACATCACTACAGTCAAAGAAAACGTTAGTAGAATCTTGAAAAGAATGGCTTCTCGGGAAAACTAGGAAAGAAAAACGTTTTTTTTTCATTACCTTCACTCTTTCACTAGATCATAAGAATAGCACACATCGATCGCACACCCTTAGGGGATTAATGATCCATCTGATGTCTTGATCTGAACTGCGAAACGTCGTCTTCGCTTCTAAAAACGATCTTTATCGGTGGATCCAATCGTCAGTCCAGAACGCCATTTCAATTAATTATATGATTGGAGTAGTAGCTATACTGAAGATCCGAGAGATGTCGCCCCTTCAGTGGTAGGAAAATCATTTTTGCAGTATGGAGAATATCAGAAAATCCACGATTTGTGACCAAGGTTGCAAATACTCATTTCAGCTAAAACAATGTTTTTCTAAATTATGAAATAAATAGATGCCATGATCAAATTTTCTATTGGTAGAATACAAGAAGAGGTTGCAAAGAATGTGTTTGACATATTAAACCTGTTTATTTCACTTCATGAGAGTCACAATCAGCGATTTTTCACAAACTCACTCACTCACTCACTCACTCACTCAGCGATCAGCAAATCGCTGATTGTGACTCATAGAAAGCAAAATTTACAGGTTTTATGTTTCCAACGCATACTTTGTAACCTCTTCTTGTAAGTTACAAGTAAAACATGCCATCATACCATCTATTGGTTTTATTATTCCGAAAAACATTATTTTAGCTGAAATGAGTCTTTGCAACCTTGTTTGTGACTAAACATGCTTTCACAGAAGAGCTCCTTAAGCGGAAGATTCCACTTGAAGTTTTTGTTTTGTTAGACATATGGTCCATCCCGATGCTGCCCGGTTGGCCATTTAACCACGAGATAGAAATATATCGGAGTGACTGCTCAACATTATCGGGATAGAGACTGACCATCCCAAGCGTCCACACGCGATTTGTTTAACTACTTCGTATATTCTCATCCTTAAATCTCTAGATCTACGTAATGTATGCATTTGAAAATAAAACTCAGTGTTGCATCAGGAAAGTGTGCATAAAATTAAATTATGAGATCCTCACAGCTTCTTAATGATGAGATCCGAGACCATGAAAACTCAAAATGGATGACCTCTACCAATCGTGTGCTTAAATAAGCCAATTTAAAAAGCAATAACCATCATGATCTATAGCTAAGGGAGTACAGGCACATGATTGTTGTTCCAGAATGTCCAGGTTCGAGTCTCATTAGAGGTAAGTTTCATAGCATCTATATCCGTATCATAATCATAAATATGAAACACAAATGATGATACTTGATCCAAAAGGTATCGGAACATAAAGAAATCATTAGTTTTCATTTTTTTGTTCCGTTTACGAGTCTTCTTATTTTTGGCATCGGGGGCGGTGAGTGGTATTTGTTTACTCAAATTTTTGACGTTTCTCACATCTGCCCTAAGTAAGCATTAACAGTGCTAGTAACGGGCTACCATACTAGCATTATAAAGGCCCGCTATTTCGCCTTTTTAGCATTATATCAGTTCTATATTAGCATACAACACTTCATATGCATTAAATGGCTGCTTCATATTCGGATTTAAAGTAGAATTAGGGCTACGTTTTAATACTTATCGGTTACTTGGGATGATCGCCTTCCTTTTTGTTTTTCTTTGCTTTGTTTTACGTCGATCTTGTTTTCCGTACTGAGTACCAATGCTACCGACGCCAGAGAGGCAGCTCCTACATCCCACACCTGGCCCTACCTATCGACCCATCAACTCATGAACCGGGGACCAACCAATCACAGATGTTATGCCATCATCTTCCTTCACTGGTACGTTTTACAATTAGATTATTTACTTTGTTTGCGTCCAGCTTACGATACCTAAGCCTCCTTGTCCGCTCAACCCGTATTTTAAATTTGCTTCTGTACGGTTTTTTAAAGGGCTTAATTAATCACACTTTGTCCCTGTTTGGTTATTATATCGCCAATGAATTTGACTGAACTTTATGTAAATAAGTTTAATAAAATTATACGTCTTCTTGTTCAGCGATTCGTTGAGCTTCAAATACATACCGTTTACTCATATTCTGGATTTATTCGAAATTAAATCATTACTCATAGCTGGGTATACTATTTTAAGCGTGTACACAGAAAGCATCTGTCAAAAGTAATGATTTTTTTTGTGGTTTCGTGACCTTATTTGTTTACAAAGTAGTACTGCAATTCACAACTACATTGGAGTCTGGTCAAACAGTAACGTCAAGTGATGCCTGCAAGCCGCCCGAGGGGATTATTTAACCATGTTCGATCAATTTTCAGATGGCCTTTCCGACGCACCTGCATTTTGTTTTTGTTATGTCGATTACCGATGCTTTTCGAGACACATACATCAACAATAATACTGCACATGCTTCAGTGGTCTTCCAGATGCACAATGTGTCATGCCAGACTACAAAACGATTTCAATCAATGCTCCGGTGATCTTCCAGACGCACCTTGCTGCGTTCTCAATCACAAACCAGAAATTTGTACAATTAATACGAAATGCTTTCAACCAAAGCTCCGGTAGTCTTCCAGACACACCTTGTGGCGTTCCTAACCACAAACCAAAAAATCTGCACAATGCTTCATTCCAGAATTCTCAATTCTTTCAATCAAAGCTCCGGTGGTCTTCCAGACACACCTTGTGGCGTTCCTAACCACAACCAAAATTTCACTTGCTTTTTTTTTTTTTTGACGAACTGCATGAAAATGTGAAACCGTTAGTAATAGTCCAGGAATGACCTGGCAGGATCGCCAATGTAAAGTTCGGCCGTTCACTGAGGAATCCGGTTGCCGGTATTGCCAGCCACTTACCCAAGCGTCCACACGCGATGACGGTTCGATGAGGAAGAGGAAGAGAGACGATCGCTGCGTGCTCTCGCCGTCTCCCGTCACGTCTGCTGTGGTGTGCGCAGGGTTATGTTGGTAGTAGGTAGGGAGCGGCTAGCATCTCTATGCGGGGGGTACTCAATACCGCACAACACCAGACACGGAAACAAAGTTACGAGGAATGTAGGCTTTGTAGTTGTTCACCTTCAATTGAGTATTCTTCTGTAGTTGGTTTGCTACCTGTAGAATTCCCATGAACTTTCCGAGTGCACGGATGTTGGAGATATTCTTCTTATATAACTCCGACTTCGTCATCAGCTTGCCAAAAGTTAGTTTGTTTAACTGGATCGTTCCCTTCCTGTCGTCTATCAGCTGCACGATGACTCAGTATGGTGCAGGATCGGACTTGTCATACTCGTACACTTGGTACGGTCTTGCCGCATTGTCCAACGGATCAGCCATTTTATAGCCTGACAACCACTTCACTAATTTGATATTTTTGAAACTATTTACTTGATAAAATTTAAGGAATTTAATGCATTGTTTACAAAAGCTGATACGCCCCTTCGAAAAAGTAGTCGAGAATTAGTGGTTTATTGTTTAGGGGCTGTTCATTGACTACGTAGAAAGTTTTTTTTTTGGATTCTTGACCCACCAAAAAAATCACATTGTTTCTAATTTTCCAAAGAAAATTCAGGCAAAAAAATATTTTCTTAAGTCATCAAGGCATGAACATGAACAATGACTCAAAAAACCACAAAATATCGACTTTTCGGTTTGGCTGAGAATCCAATTTTTTTTTTCATGATGAGTAGAAACAATATGTTAACATGTAATTTTTGTCAAGAATCTAAGAAACTTTAACTACAATTTCACTAAATCAAACAAGTTTTAAAGAGTGCTTCCCTAATAAAAAATACCATAAACGAATGGTAACCCAAGTAGATGAAATGCTGTTTGTTAGGTAAATACCTAGTTAACATTTTCAGTTACCGAACGATAAGTATTCATGATTTTTCGGCTTTTTGTGGCAGGTCATACATTTTCGGCCTTTCGTAGTAGGTCCATACATATTCGGTCCTTTTTCCTTCAGCCTTCTGTCCCCTTCCACTCAATGTATTTAAACTATGAAATACTGTTTCTCGCAAGATTGTTGATCAGATGTTTCAAAAATTACTAAATATTGTTTGCAATCAATTAAATATCAAAAAATATAGACACAAATAGTAAAAGCTTATTTACTAGTGGTGAGATATTATAATATTTCGTAGTCAAACGAACAGCGGAAAACAATTGAAGTCCTATTTAGGTTGTTTTTTAAAGACGAAAGTTCTCATATTTTTAAAATTGCTTAGTTGGATCACACTGACGTACTATGTAGTAGTTTTTCTAATACAATGTTTAATATTGGAGAAAAAAGGGGATGCTCCCCTACTAGAGGAAAACGCCATTTAGAAAGGAATTTCGAAGAATTGATGTTAAAAGAAAACGTTAATATTAAAAAACGTATATAAAAAGAGTTGTACAATACGGTGTAGAAGTTCAAAGGGTTTAAAACAGAAACACTTGTTATTTAAGCTACAGCAGCTTCTGGTACAATCTGCAAGATGGTTTTCCGTTTTGCATCGTACAAGAATCCGTTCTTTTTGAATAGCTCACCGTCGTAGAATGGTTTTAGATTGTGTATATCGATCGCCTTGGCACGTTCGGCCAAATCCTTCTCCATAATTTCCACATGCGTCGCTCGTGGTCCTTCCTTGCAACGCACATACGCCAACTGATCTAGAGTCAGCTGGCGCAAAATAAAGAATAACAGCTCGGAGTGGTCCTTCTGGAACGATAGATACTTCTGGAAGGTAGAGCGCATCTTTTTCATGACGCTGAATTTTTGCGCTTCGATGAAACTTTCCAGCATCATGCGGATGGCCATGTTGACGTCGACGTCTTGTACAGTGTCACGCAGATGCATACGGGCGTGTGCTTCGGACATGCGGATAACACTTTCAATATGCCGAACCGTGATGGGTAACGACCCTGTGGAAAGGGATTCCTGTCGCAATTGCGAGTACATTTTGGCTATCTTATCCTGGTCCATATTCTGTGAAAAAAGGCATGGTTATTAGTTGAATAACTCATATAGACGTGATTTGAGCACAAACCGTCAGTTTAGGATGCACATTTTCCTTGGCGTAGACGATGAACTTCTTCAACAAATCCTGCGGTATCTGCATACTATCAGTGGGCTGTGATTCAGGTATGACTTCGTCCATTGTTGGGTGGTGTTTGATGTGAGAACCGACAACAAACCGAGCCAACTGCTGGTCCTGCATAGGATCGTACTCATCTTTCACCACGCAGAGGATATCAAAACGCGACAGAATCGGTTCCGAAAGATTGACGTTCTCAGAAAAGGTCATGCTAGGATCATAACGACCACCGATCGGATTGGCTGCGGCAATCACAGCACAACGTGCTTGCAGCGATGTTACGATGCCAGCTTTGGAGATTGAAATCGACTGTTGTTCCATAGCTTCATGGATTGAGGTTCGATCCTGATCGTTCATTTTATCGAACTCATCGATCAGACACACACCCTGATCGGCCAGCACAAGCGCTCCCGCTTCTAGTGTCCATTCACGTGTCGCTGGGTTTCTTCGTACATAGGCAGTCAAACCAACAGCCGAAGCACCTTGACCGGTTGTGAACACAGCACGTGGAGCAATCTTCTCCGAATACTTCAGAAATTGTGACTTAGCAGTTCCTGGATCACCGCAGATCAGAATGTTAATATCGCCTCGAAGTTTGTGTTTTTCACCGTGATTTTTTGCCTCTCCACCAAACAATGTAAGAGCCAAGCTACGCTTGATGTACTCATGGCCATAAATGGAAGGAGCCATGCTCTGTACAATGCGTTCAATAATGCGTGGATCTTTGCTCAACTTTTGAATTGTAGATATATCTTCGTCAGTGAGAGACGCAACAACCTGTTTACTATCCTTCACCACAAGGTGATTGGCAATCAGAACGGTCGCAAACACGGGGAAGCCTTGCTCGGTATTCAATGATCCGTCGTAGTTGTTGGTGTAAATTCCGGTCACTTCAATTTCATCTCCTGGCTTGCATTGATCACACAGATCCGACAGCAAGATGCAATCTTTGCTTCTTGGAATACGTCCGGCCGGAATACGGCCTGGCGACTCTTGCAGGGTAATTTTCTGATAGTTGCGATATAGGGTCTGTTCCATATTGATCGAAAATGGTCCACCGCTTTGACACTCTGGGCATGATCCAGGCTTCACTTCAGTATTCTGGCTTTGCACGAATGGTCCCAGAATGTAACCGCACTTGACACAGTCGTACTTGACAACTGACAACTGTGGGAGCACTCCAGTGGTTGCAGTTACTACTCCAAGGGTGCGAACCAATTGATTCAAGTGAAGTTTCCGGAAAGTGCGCAATTCCTCTACTAATGGCAAGTCGGAAATACGAACGTGAATCTCGTTTGTAACACGCTCATATGTTGGATAAATACTCAAAACCATTTCCTTTGCAACTTTATCCATAATTTCAAGCAGTTGAAATGGTGCTTCCGGCAGAAAATATGCCAATACATGCTGATTGTTGGCCAAATCCGTGTACGATACGACAAAACTAGACTTATTTTGTTCACACATTCTTCGAATGCGATCGCGATAAACGTACTGCCCCTTGGCATCAACAAACGTTCTCAAAAAGCTGTTGAATCTGTTAGCAATTTCAGTGCGCGGTCCCAACATTGAAACCCATTCCTTGATACTGTGCCCTTTGGTATCCTCCAAATTTTCGATCGACTCTATCATTTCGGTATCTTCCACTTCGCCATCGGCAGCTTTCTCTGCAGCACGCCGTTTGGCTCTGGGAATATCATCTTCGTCATCGCTTCTCTCGTAGAAAAGTTCCCGGTCATCACGATGAACACCTACAGCGCGATCACGACGACGCATTTCCCTTTCAGCAGCGGCGCGATCCCCCTGTGAGATGTCGCTGTACACTTCCTGGTCCAAATCTTCAATTTCATAACGATCCAGGTGAGGAACCGGACGATAATCGCTATTTAAATAACACAATGGATTAAGCATCGCACTTCAATTTACAATTTAACAATTTAGTCATCTATACTTTTCCATGTTATCTCCAAAGAGCTCTTCGCCGTCCTCATCCTCATCGTAATTATCCTCCCGAATGGTCATGTCACCCAGAATTTCTTCCTCGTTTTCGAACGGCTCGAATTCTCCGACCGGCGAGGTCATACCTGAACGAAAATTCCGGCGATCAATGTCGCTGGGAGTGTTCGGTGGTGGAGAGCTGGGATTGTCCTGTTAATAAAATAATCCACGTAGTAACTATTTCATTAACTTACAGTCGTATTTATACTTACAGACATCTTGTGAAGTGTTGGTCAAAACGAAAATACGTCAAACAATCAAAAGAATCACCGTATTTTTAACAATACAACACTGTAACTTGGAGTAATACGAAAACACGCTCTTTCACTAGAAAGCACAGCACAAACTCAATAATTTTAAGCGCGAAAATTTGACAGAGCTGCTAGAAACTGCAAGAAAAAAATCAGACTATGTCTACACACGCTATTTCCAAACAGCACTCAATTGGGTAGAATCCACTTGCATCAGTCAAAACTAATCTTACTCAGAGAGTGAGTTACGTTTACTTATTCACATGGAGAAATTTCTAAAAGCGTACACAGCATGAATGAAATAGCCATTTATGTGTCAAATTTGATGTCAAATAAGATGTGTGCACTTATTAGGTTTTGCACCGTCGGGGCTAACCTCAATCTGACGACAGTTTAGTGGTACTGTTTACGTGGACTTCCCGCATAAGCGCGAACCATAAATTGACCTTACCTAAAATAGTTATAAATTGTTTATAACCCCTGCTAAACTTTAACTGAAATGGTTATGGAACTTTACATGAACGTTTAATGATAAAGTTTCAACCTTATGTATTATGGTTTTTTGGAACTGGACCTTACAAATAATGGGTTGTTAAGAACCATTACCGTTCCAAATTCTTTTTTTCTCCATACATTTTCGGAAAGAGAACTATATTAGAACCTTTTAACTTATGGTTTGAGAACATTAATGGTAATGGTTATGGTAACCAGTAAGGTCCATGAATGGTTTTGTAACATCGATCAACTTTATGTGGAATATATCGCGAATTGGTTGCCTGTAAATTACTGATTACCAATTCACGATATATTTCACGTAAAGTTGAGCGATAATACAAAACCATTAATGGACCTTACTGACTACCATAACCATTACCATTAATGTTCTCAAATCATAAGTAAAAACGTTCTTATATAGTTCTCTTTCTGAAAATGTATGGAGAAAACAAGAATTTGGAATGGTAATGGTTCTTAACAACCCATTATTTGTAAGGTCCAGTTCCAAAAAACCATAATACATAAGGTTGAAACTTTATCATTAAAAGTTCATGTAAAGTTCCATAACCATTTCAGTTAAAGTTTAGCAGGGATTATAAACAATTTTCAACCATTTTAGGTAAGGTCAATTTATGGTTCGCGTTTATGCGGGTCTTTCTCTTTAGTTAACTCTTTTATCAGTCATTTGTGGTCCTGAAAAGTACCGATGGGTTGGAAGCTTGGAAGCCAGTTTAGAATAATGATGTGGAAATTTGTCCTCGATGTTCTTGGAGATGATAGCGGTGCAGAAATGAAATATGCATTAGGGAAAACACATACCTACGTTTATGCTTCTTGATGCAAATTTTAACCCTCTTCTATTAAGGGAATTCGGCAAGATTTTTTTTGCATAATTCTCTTAATAGGAGGGGCTTACAATTTGCAACAAAAGGCATAAAGATAGGTACGGTCTGGCATGCTCAGTGCTTGAAATCAATATTCGGCGACTATGTTAGGGAAACCACTTTTCCCATCACGGCAACACCTTGTTTTCTGAATGTCAAAATTACGTATTTTCGTGCACAAAATGCACAGAACTTTTGGTTTATTCAATAGATAATAAAAAATCCGAAATTGATTGGAGGAATTTCATGCTTATTTTTTTCCAATCGCTAGATATTCGCGATCAATCATATAAATTCGATTTTTTTTTGCTTTTTCTAGCGTCCTGGAGAAAAACCCCGAAAAAAAAAATTACAGTGAAATTTTCAGTGGAAACAATGCTCTAACATTAATATGTATTGTTGACAATAAAAATTATTGTTATTGGCGTCTTGCAGTGAAACTTTTCCAAGCTTTCGCCTCCTACATTTCGAAGTAAGAACTACTAGAAGGAGGATAGTTCCCAAATTCTCCAAGTAAAACAGACGATTTTTGGGGCAAATCGGTCCATAAAGAAAAATTAATAATTTCCCGTGGAAACTTTTGCTTGAATCGTGTAAGAAAACGTGTTTGAATACTAATTGTTATTATTTCGGTATGGATCGGAGAGGTTTTCATGGAAAATTATGCATAACAAGTTTGCACCCACAGCGAGAGGTTACCTCCTGCGCAGCTGCATTTTTCGGAAAATGGTGAATATGTGCGATTTCCTCTAAGATGAAAGTGGAAATAAAGTTAATTTACTTAGGAAAGGTTGTATCATGCTGGTGGTAATGGAGAATTGGTTGTATAGGACGCCAATATTCAATAAATGTTCATTTTGGCCTTTTCTAAGCAAACATATTGATACTCACAATTTTCGACGGAAAACGCAACGGAACTTGATTTACTCAACACGCACCATGCTATAAAATGGTGCTAGATGGTCTTCAAAGTGATAACAAGATGACAAATCATCTTTATTTTGAGTAATTGAGCAATTTACTTCTGTTTACCATCATATTTACGATGCAGCATTGATGGAGCCGTGAAATGAAATGAATATATCTTATGAAAGTTCAACTGGAAAAGTCAAAGATGCACATAAGTCTGATCGTAAAAACGTTTTCTTCTTCAATTCGAATGTTATATTGGAAGGATTTCACGTAGGCTTGATGAAAATTATGATTTAATGCTAATTTTCAGGAATTTTATATGCAGTCTGTCAACATTATCATCATCATGCAGTGGCGACATCTGCGTTGAGCTTTTGCGGCAATCTTCCAATAATGTTGTACCCTTCCGAAAACGGCAAAACTGCTACCTAGCTGTACAATGAATGTACACGGATAGAAATCTCCTTATACCTTTTGGCAAATTTCTATTGCTGATTATTCATAAAATGTATAAGTCAACTAATAAGCAGACGCCTTGCAAAAAGTTAATGAAGATCATGTGTTGAATAAAATGTATAAGCGGTCACACATACCTTTTCTGCATTCTTATAGGACCTATGTGGTTTGTCTTATGGAATGTATAAGGTTGATGTAATGGCAAAAATGTATAAGTGAAACACATGAATAAAATAATTGATTTTCGTTTCGTGTACATAATAAAATGTTGTTACAATGATTTTTATCGTATTTTCATTTATTTTATTGTTAACATGATTCGATCATGAACAATAATGAACAATTCTATTACAATAAAAAATGTTGTTACATTAAATATTGGTGTGTTTTCATTGTGGGTTACTTCACGAACAATAAAAATAAATCTGATTGAAGCATGCAGACTATGAGAGGGTCAGCAACACTGCCAATGTAATCAAGACAGGCGCTGCTCGTATGGCTCTCTCTTTGACAGTTCGTTTGACTCAAAACCAGCCAGTCCGCGTCCGCTCATGTCTTATCCTTTTCCGTGCAGTCAATAATAATAAAAAATTCCACCACTTGAAGATGTCAGGAAGGAACTCTCAGGTGGAAGCATATTTCATGGGCGATTCTCTCCAGTCGAATTCATTAACTTATCAACGACGCTCAACCACCAAGGAGACGTGACCTAGGGAGATCGAGTGCAGGGGAGTTGGCCTCCATTTCTCACAAGTTCCGGATCGAATCTCAATCCATAACCAGTAAAAAAAGGACTCACCCGTAACAGACATATACCCCCTTCCCTTCCCGGGGCGATGTTTTATTTTTTCGATTTACTTTTAAAGTCGATAAAGTAGATCTGTCAAGCCAACACATACACTCTAAAGTACACTGTTATTTTTTTAAATCAATAAATTCGTCAACCAACAGTAAAATAACAATAATATCAGTGCTAACATTTGAAAACGGCGCAAAAGCCATTTGTAAACAAATGGTTTGTGGGCCCTTTACTCGCTACCCGAAGAACGCCCACGCAAACCAACAGCATCGTCAGGAAGGGGAAAATTTCCCCTACCCGATGTTGCTGTTGTGTCGCGTGGGTGTACTTCAAGTAGTGAGTAAAGGGCCCACAAACCATTTGTTTACAAATGGCTTTTGTGCCGTTTTCAAATGTTAGCACTGATATATAATGTTATTGAAAAAAAATTATATGGGGAAATCACGAAAATTTCATTGTTAAGATACTTAACAACCCCCCTTTTTTATTGTAAATTTTCCATTTACCATGAAATTTGCTCTTTTGTACAACATAAATCAAGGTAAATTTATTGTAGACGTAACTATATAAATCATTGTTAAGACAATAATTTTCGTCTTATTGTTACATTGTTTTTTATTGCATTTTTGTTGTTATTTTTTTCGGGGCTTACTTTGGCATGGTCATGCTACAAGCGTGATTGAGCGATCGATAGTTACAAATCGTGCGCAGCGAAATGAAAGCCGAGTGAAAAACCAGGTTGCCTTTATGGGGCAAAAATGACATGCATCTAAAATGGAGTGTAAATTAAAGTGATTAGTACTTTAAAACAAAAAAAACTTACTATTCTTATAAGCTTGCAAGCATATCAACAGCAGTATTTATTGTTTACTCCATTAACTTATTGAACTTAAAGGTATTTTTTTCAATACAAACATATACCATGTGCGTCCAAAAATCAAATGTAAACTAATGTTGATACTATTTTATAAACTTGTTAATTTCACGAAAACAATGCATATCGAAACCATAAATGGACAATAATTGAGCTATTTTCTAAACATTTTTGTACAATTTTATACATCAATGTAAGGGTGGCACTTTGCCCCATATGAAGTTTAATTTTAGGATTTTTTTTTGATTATTTAATGAAAATATATACTAATTATTAGTAAATATTTTCTTTCTTTAATCAAAAATGAAATTCCAAAGATAAACCTACACTGCCCATAAATACATATCAGTCCCATATGGAAAAACAGCACGCCGAGATAAACGCTGTTGAAATTTTTTTCATCTATAGTGTAAAATACAAGGAGTTTACAATCGATTCTAATGGATAATTCATGTCTGATCAATATTCATATGGGACTATTATGGATTCATGGGCAGTACATTTATGTATAAAATTGTTCAATAATGTTTAGAAAATAGCATAAATATTGACCATTTATTTGAATTATTAATTGTTATTATTGTTTCTACCAACCATTATAAAAAAAAATTGGAAATACAGAAATCTTTTTTGTTATAAAAATTTGACTTTTAAAAACAACTAGGTACACAACATTATTTTCTGCTTTTTTTAAGACTTCGTTTCGGCCAGAACATTTCCCAATGCTTCATATGGGAGGTAGCATTAAAATTGTCTTCATTATCTGATCTCTATACCCTATTACCCATAAGACATTTATGTGTGGTGCAACCGGAGACGAACCAGCGTACGACTAAAAGTCTCCTTAATAAAGATAACAAACTAACTAACTATGTGGCGTTTTTATGTTCTTTATTTGCGCAAAATAATTAATAATTACGATGTAAAAGGTATTAAATGGACATGCATTGTTGGCCAGTTACAGCATGGTACAACGTTGATAGTAGTACTTACTATAAAAAATCACTTTTTTATACGTTTCTTCTGTTTTTCCTTAGCATCAGAATTCGAGGAACTCGATGAGTCTGATTCGCTATCACTGGAACTACTACTATCACCACTGCTACTGCTGCTGCTCGAACTACTCTCACTGTCACTTGTATCTGAATCCGAAGAAGATCCAGAGGTAGAACTGCTATCACTCGAACTGTCGGAGGATGACTTTATTGGTTTTTCATCTTTTTTAGCAGATTCTGGTTTACTGCTGGTGACGGTTCTGAAAGATTTCCCTCAAACGGTTAACAACTTTGAACTTTTAAGAAATCATATTTCCAAGTACATACCCTTTGTTCTCCATCTTGTTTAGGTTTTTCTTCAGCACTTGTGTCCGGGAGGACCGATGAACATACTTCCGCTTGCCTTTGCATTCGTAGCTCCAATGGCCAAACTCTAGGCATTTTTGACACTGGATGCCTTTTGGAAAAGCTGCTGCAAGCTTTGCTTCCCTGTTAATGAAACAGTAAACATTAATAAGAAATCAATGCTATCAGTCAACGATAACGATTTTTTTCCTGAGCTTAACAATATTAATTGTATACGCTAATAAAATTTCAAATATTGTTTTTTTTTGTGTGTCCCACACATGAAGTTTTGCAATGATTTAATATGCGGACACATACTTAATATGTGTACACATAAAAAAAGCCATGTGTAACCACACATACTATTCATTTGACTCATTAATTTCATGTGTGCTTCTGGGTGGATTCAGTTTATGTGTGGTCACATGAAAAGCATGTGGAATTTTACATGGAAATTCATCAATACAAATGTGTGGAATTTTATTAATGTAGGAAGGCATAATACTTACTTTTGCTTTTGAGCTAATTTTATTGCTCCAAGATGATGCATAGTTAAATAGATCCTTGATGAGGTATACTTTAAAAATGAATCGGCAATCCTTTATTATACCCCCTTTAATCAACGATCTCAATTAAAGTAACTGATATTCGTTTTATAAAACTAAAACCAAGCAATTATCCAAAAAACACAATTAAATTTAGAAAAACACGCTTCAACGCAAAACGTAGATTTTTGTTTACACCTCGAGTTCACTGATTTTGTTTTGTTTTCTGATCTGAGTCTGATTCTGATGGCCGTGTGAAATACTAAGAGGTGTGGCAAACAGGAAATACTCTTTCCGCGGTGAACCTCTTAGAGGTATAGACATTATGCAGATGTGACGTCACGTCTGCATGTGCACAAGAAAGCGTGAGAATGAAAATTCGGTTCCTTTCTGTTACACCTCTTAGTATCTGACATTGGCGTTGACGGCACCACCGAAAAATCGTCTCTTCTAGCAAATATTGACAGTGTCTTATGAGAATTTTCAGTGGAGTGAAAAGATAGTACGAAGTCCGCCATGTTTCACACACAGTGAATGACGTTTGCTTATAGATTTTACCATTGGAGTAAAGAGCTACAGAGTCGCCGTCAATGACAATGACTTGAGAACATTTTAAATTTAAAGGGCCTCAGCACCCTCTCGCCCACTGCTTCTGTGTTTTGGGTATTTTGCACAAAGCTAGACGAACTTTTCAAAAAGTCCTATCTGTATTGTAAGATTATCCACATCACCTTTCTCTTTCGCCAATAACAGTTACTCAGCTGTAACAGTATTCCCTGTTTTGTGTGATATTCTGGACGCTAGATGAGAACCTCCTTCATCAAACTATGTGTCAAAAATGTTGCAAAATCTTTTTGTATAACTGTATCAAAAGAGAATGGACTAAAACAGATTGGGCATTTTGAAGAATAATTCTAGAAAGGGGAATCTATAGAAACGTCACACGTCAGTTGGATGCAAGGAGAGTTTGTGTTATCATCGAGAAGGTTGTTTTCTTTACGAGTGCTAGAATACCAAGTTTTTCTGTGGTGAAAAATTTCTGCAAATTTGATCAATAATTAACAAAAAAGTTACTGGAAATACTTGCTTCGGGTTCATTGTTGTTGGTGCTGTGAAAAAATATCAAAAAGTATGTATTAGATTGGCTTGTCTGTTGATAAAAAAATACGCGAATGATCGCCAATAATATCGATTTTTCAAATGAATTTTCTCTTATTGTGTTGATTAGGGATACTGAATCAATTTCAATCTTGTAATTTGCACATTAAATTTCACAGTTATCTATCATTTCGTTTTTGGTAGAATCTATAAATTTTGTTGGGAAATCTATCGGTTTTCATTGGAAGCTATTTTAAAGGAACACCTATTCTTGTTTTTCTTGTTAAGGTAGTTCTTTGGTCAAGGGCGTAAAACATGTTCAAGATGAAACTATGAAAATTATGTTTTGTATAAAATAAGTACAACAAATAAATTATAACATCAAGGCAAAATTATCAAACATATGTTGTGTTCAAATAAACCGCAGTGATTTATTGCTCTTATAAAATAAGTGTATAGAGTGTATATAAGCTCTATAGCTTAGCTCGGTATGTTTTCTAATTTCGTACGATTTTAAAATCACTTCGAAAAGCATTGACTAGGGATCTAGTATTTATACTTTACTAAGCTAACTAATATTATTATAATTATTATCTAAAAGAAGGATTCTATTACACTACCCCGAATTTCACTACCCGAACGGTACACTACCCTGAATGCCGTTACCCCCACAAACGAGGTGACAGACGACTAACTGGCGAAGAAATCAATTAAAATAATGTGGTTCGCTGTAACAGAATTTTCTTAGAAGCTTGTGCCACCAGATGGGTTATATCATTTTGTCATTTTTTTTAATGCATTTCAGTTTTGAGTAGAATGAAAGAGATAGAACCAAAACATTCTAGTACATTTAGTGTTGTCATGTGGTACAATCCAGTAGTGGTTTTGCCGATTCTATAACATTCCCCAGAAAACCATTCCCCAGAATGCACCATTCCCCAGAAAAGCATTCCCCAGAATGTACAATTCCCCAGAAAAGATGATAAAATTAGTAATTTATCACTTTTTTTTTGTCATTTGATATTACATTTCAGTTTTATATTACCGAACAGGCGTCCATGAATAAACAGTTCCGCAATTATCTTGCACACTGAATAATGCATCTTCTGAATACCAATTTTTTCGATAAATTTTACACGTTTGATTTAATATATTTGTCATGGGGGCTTATTACGGTTGTCACTTCACGGTGAAAACTTGTCACTTGTCTTCACGGTGAAGTGATTCCCATTTGATTTGTACGGCAATCACGGCTCTTATTCTGAGTATCACTTCATGATCACCGTGTATAGGTTCACCCGTAATAAGGCCCATGATAAAACTCTCTGATTAGTTTCACTTTACTATTGATGATACACTACGTTTACTATTATGGAACTATTTATTTATCAATTCCAAACCATTTTATAGCTCTTTAGAAAATGACAACCTTCAAGTTTTCGAGCACTTCGTTCATCATTTAAAAAGTCAAAGAGTCTATTATGAAATCCAATTCAACCAGTCGGAAACTGCGTATCGAAGAATTGTTAACCTGAGTTGAAGAATTTCTCGAGATAGATTAAACAATCGGTGCATGGAACGTTGAACTACCGATTACAAGTTTATAACATTATTCCACACGTTATTATCCCGAATGGGCATTACCCCGTATCCCTTGCGAAAAACTATAGACTATATATTTTCCTTATATATTAAAAGAAGGGAATATTTCCTTCTAAATCGTATATCCAAAGAATTAACTATTTGCTTTTGTTATATTTTCAAAGAAGGGAATCTTCCCTTCTTTATTATATATGTAACGAATTAATTATGTTCTCTTTTATATATTCAAAGAAGGGAATATTCCCTTTTTTATCGTATATCCAAAGAATTAATTATTTCCTTTTCTTATATTTTCGGTATTACCAAGCCGGAGGCGGCGTGTTCGATTCCCGGTCCGGTCGAGGGAATCTTTCGGGTTGGAAATTTTCTCGACTTCCCTGGGCATAGAGTATCATTGTGCTTGCCATTCATGCATTGGTATTGGCACCGAAAGCTCTCAATTAATAACTGTGGAAGTGCATTTAGAACACTAGGTTGAGAGCACGCAATAAGCTAATATGCGCTAAGCAATAAGCTTGAAATGCGAATAAGAAGAAGAATATTTTCAAAGAAGGGAAAAGCCCTTGATCCGTTAAGAAGTTTTTCTCTTCTTATTATATACGCGAAAGAAGATTCCAGGAGTGACTATAATAAACAAAAATACATCTAATACATGGCATACTTTTCTGGGGAATGGTACGTTCTGGGGAATGGTTTTCTGGAAAATGGTTCATTCTGGGGAATGGTGCGTACTGGGGAATGAGATTCTGGGAAATGGTTTTCTGGGGAATGGTTTTCGGAGGAATGGTTTTCTGGGAAATGGATTGTATGGTTCTCTTTTTTTGCTGGATGGAATTTCTCTCCGCTAGACTATGAATATAGCGACTATATTGACTACTACCAGTTGTTGCTTGTAGAGATAGGGATGTCAGTCCCGCACAGATAAAAATTCTGAATTTTAATAGTGATGTAAACATTCATCCACGTAAACTTTCATTTCACGCAACCGAGCAACTTGTAAACAATGTTGTTTACAACAATGGGCTTTTGTATACAATATTTCATACATTGCATGAAATGTCTTAGAACTTTACATGATATATAATGTAAACTTATATGATATGTTACGCTCCATTTATGTGCATCATACTGAAGAGAAATTTACACTTCTTTTTCGAACTGTGCGTGATTACATCAAGTTTAGTGCATTGAATATAGTTGAAAATTTTAGTTGGTTCGTCTTTATTTTTCAGAAAAGAGAGAGGCTATAACATGCAAAAAAATCTATCATGATGACATTTTTCTTGTCCAGAATGGTTATAATATGTAACAACAAGGGCTGTAGTACGACAAAGGCAAATAAAAAATCACGGAAATGGAACAATCTATTTTTCAGGGAAATAGTCCATTCTGGGGAATGGTTTTATTGGGAATAGTCCGTTCTGGGGAACGGCTTTCTGGGGAATGGTACATTCTGGGGAATGGTACATTCTGGGGAATGGTACATTCTGGGGAATGGTACATTCTGGGGAATGGTACATTCTGGGGAATAGCATTCTGGGGAATTGCATTCTGGCTTTCGGGGAAATGTCATACAATCTTCCAAAAGCTGTAAATAATTAATTCTTTGGATATACGATAAAGAAGGGAATATTCCATTCTTTTAAGATATTAAAGAGAACATAATTAATTCGTTACATATATGATAAAGAAGGGGATATTTCCTTCTTTGAAAATATAACAAAAGGAAATAATTAATTCTTTGGATATACGATAAAGAAGGGAATATTCCCTTCTTTTAATATATATGGAAAATATATGAAAAAACCGGTTTGTACCTTCCTTAAAAGTTGTCCTAGCTCGCTATTCTAATATATATGCAATTTTCACACTGCCGTACTCTAACGGAACTATCAACTCTATGCTTTCATCTACTCCATCTATCGTATAAAAATTACCACTACAGTCTGTTATTTGAAATTAGCATCTTCAACTATGTAAATCGTTGACTTCACGCAGAAGTAATACTAAAACATATAGTCAAAGTACATAACTCTGGATGGGAGCATACCATCAATTACTGTCATTGGTCGAAAGGTACAGTAGCAGCACCTACCCCACCCGTGTCCCCTCGAGATCGTCAAGTCGACGATGACAGGAGCACATATCGTGGTAGGGGTAAACAATAGTTGCAATTTCCAAACCTACGACTGGATGCCTTCCTTCAAATAACAACTGAAGTGCGATAAAAAATCGGTAGAACTGTTTCAAACACACCGTTGGTATTTGAGCGGTCGGTTTTCATCTCTTTTTGTCAGTGGTGGCGGTGGGGGGGGGAGACACCCCTCACCATTACTCTCCAAAGGGGGAGTTTGGTAAAGAGAGATAAAAAAACCGATTTGTTTCTTCCTTAAAAGTTGTCCTAGCTCGCTATTCTAATATCTATACGCAATTTTCACACTGCCGTACTCTAACGGAACTATCAACTCTATGCTTTCATCTACTCCATCTATCGTATAAAAATTACCACTACAG